AGCACAACACCCCATCTTATGCTTTGCTGTTGGATATTTATTCTCGTTTCACTATTTAAACTCTGGGAGATATAAATAACGTTAAGTAAATACACCGCCCATCGCATTTTCAGTATTATCGCAACCTGAATTATGAAAAGGAGAATAAATATCCAACAGCAAAACATAAGTTGAGGTGTTGTACTGACTCATTGTTCTGTTTTCCTATTGGCTGTAATTTGATGATGTTACCTCTTATGCCACCTATCACATTTAAGTAAGAGATTACTGGCAGAATGCAATATTACGACAGCACTATCCATTGTTTTGAGGCGCCGCCTCCCCTAGGAGGACCTATTGTGAGCCACAAGCCTTGGTAGGGTACCTGGGAGCAGTGGCGACCCATAAAGAGGCCTGGGGGGAGCCATCCCCTCTGGAAGGGTCCCTCAAGGCGCCACCGCCACTGGCAGGGCCTCTGGGAGCACCACGATCCCTAGGAACGTACCTGGAAGCGCCCCCCTCCCTGGAGAGGCCCCATGGATCATGGCTGTCCCTGTGAGGGCCCCTAGGGTCGCCAATGCCCCTAGCAGGGCCCATGGGGGCGCCGCCGTCCCTGTGATGGTTCCTAGAAGCGTTGCCGTCCCTGCAAGGACCCTGGAGCGTTGCCTTCCTGAGAGGCCCATGGAAGCTCGGCTGTTCCTGGAGAACCCCTGTCGACGCCGCCTTCCCTGAGAAGGCCCCTAGGATTACAGTTGTTCCTAAGACCAATCGTGGTGAATCCAGCGCCCCTGACAGGTCCCTTGGGGGCACCGCCGACCCTGAGAGGGCCCTGGGGGCGCCTCCATTCCTTGTACGGCCAAACGACCCTCACAGGGATAGGGGCGATCCTAGGATCCCTTACTGGGATGGGGGCGCCTTCAGGGGTATTCCCAGGGACGGCGGCGCCCCCATGAGCGATGCCACAGCGGTGGGGCATTCAGGGGCCCTTCCAGAGGCGGTGTCTCCCCCAGGGTCTCTCTATGGAGCGCCTCTACTCCCAAGGAACCTGCTAGGGGCTGCGGCAGTGGAATGGGCCCTCCTAGGGCCGATGGCGCTGGTATGGGCCCTCCTAGTGGCATTGGGTGCCTTTCCAGGGGCAGCAGGGTCTCTGCCAGGGGCGATGGCGCCCCCAGGGGCCCTTCCACATGCAGCATCGCCCCAAGAACTTCATAGTTTTGTCGTACATTTTGCATTCGTCCAGTAATCCATTACTTAAACGTCATTGGTGGAGAAAGATGTAACGTCGTCAAATTACAGCTAATAGGAGAACAGAGCAATCAGTCAGTACAACACCCCAACTTATGCTTTGCTGTTGGATATTAATTCTCGTTTCACTATTTAAACTCCGGGAGATATGACGTAAATAAATATACACTGCCCATAGCATTTTCAGCATTATCGCAACCTGAACAATGAAAAGGAGAATAAATATCCAACAGCAAAACATAAGTTGGGGTGTTGTGCTGACTGATTGCTCTGTTTTCCTATTGGCTATAATTTGATGATGCTACCTCTTATTCCACCAATCACAGTTAAGTAAGAGATTACTGGAAGAATGCAATATGTACGACACCACTATCCATTGTTTTCGGGCACCGTCTCCCCTAGGAGGACCTATTGTGAGCCACAGGCCTTGGCAGGGTCCCTGGGAGCAGTGGCGCCCCCATAAAGAGGCCTGGAGGGAGCCACCGCCTCTGGAAGGGCCCCTGAAGGCGCCACCGCCGCTGGCACGGCCTCTGGGAGCACCACGGTCCCTATGGTCATACTTGGAGGCGCCCCCGTCCCTGGAAAAACCCCGAGGATCATGGCTGTCCCTGTGAGGGCCCCTAGGGTCGCCAGCGCCCCTAGCAGGGCCATTGGTGGCGCCGCCGTCCCTGTGAGGGTCCCTAGGAGCGTTGCCGTCTCTACAAGGGTCCATTGAATCGTTGCCGTCCCTGAGAAGCCCACGGAAGCTCAGCTGTTCCTAGAGGATCCGCTGTGTACATCGCCTTCCCTGAGAAGGCCCCTAGAATTGCAGTTGTCCCTAAGAGCGCCCCCGGTGGATCCAGCGCCCCTGACAGGTCCCATGGCCGCACCGCCGACCCTGAGAGGGCCCTGAGGACGCCTCCGTGCATGGCATGGAAATGTGACCCTCACAAGGATAACGGCGATCCCAGGGTCCCTTACAGGGACAATGGCGCCTTCTGGGGTGTTCCCAGGGACGGCGACGCCCCCAGGGGCCTTACCACAGCGGTGGCGCCTTCAGGGGTCCTTCCATAGGGCGGTGTCTCTCCCCAGGATCCCTCTATGGAGCGCCTCTGCCCCCCAAGGAACCTGCCAGGGACTGTGGCGCCTCTATGGGACCTTCTAGGGACATCGGCGCTGGTATGGGCCCCCCTAGTGGCAGTGGGTGCCTTTCCAGGGGCGGCAGGGTCTCTGCCAGGGGCGACGGAGCCCCCAGGGGCCCTTCCACAAGCAGCATCGCCCCAAGAACTTCATAGTTTCGTCTTACATTTTGCTTACGTCCAGTAATCTCTTACTTAAACGTGATTGGTGGAGTAAGATGTGACGTCATCAAACTACAGCCAATAGGAGAACATAGCAATCAGTCAGCACAACACCCCAACTTATGCTTTGCTGTTGGATATTTTTTCTCGTTTCAATATTTAAACTCTGGGAGATATAAATAACGTTGGCAAATACACCGCCCATCGTATTTTCAGTATTACCGCAACTCAATTATGAAAAGGAGAATAAATATCCAACAGCAAAACATAAGTTGAGGTGTTGTACTGACTGATTGTTCTGTTTTCCTATTGGCTGTAATTTGATGATGTTACCTCTTATGCCACCTATCACATTTAAGTAAGAGATTACTGGCAGAATGCAATATTACGACAGCACTATCCATTGTTTTGGGGCGCCGCCTCCCCTAGGAGGACCTATTGTGAGCCACAAGCCTTGGTAGGGTACCTGGGAGCAGTGGCGACCCATAAAGAGGCCTGGGGGGAGCCACCCCCTCTGGAAGGGTCCCTCAAGGCGCCACCGCCACTGGCAGGCCTCTGGGAGCACCACGATCCCTAGGAACGTACCTGGAAGCGCCCCCCTCCCTGGAGAGGCCCCATGGATCATGGCTGTCCCTGTGAGGGCCCCTAGGGTCGCCAATGCCCCTAGCAGGGCCCATGGGGGCGCCGCCGTCCCTGTGATGGTTCCTAGAAGCGTTGCCGTCCCTGCAAGGGACCCTTGGAGCGTTGCCTTCCCTGAGAGGCCCATGGAAGTTCGGAATTTCCTGGAGGAGCCCCTGTGGACGTCGCCTTCCCAGTAAAGGCCACTAGGATTGCAGTTGTCCCTAAGAGTTCCCCTGGTGGATCCAGCTTCCTTGACAGGTCCCCTGGGGGCACCGCCTACCCTGAGAGGGCCCTGGGAACGCCTCCATGCCTGGGATGGCCAAGTGACCCTCACAGGGATAACGGCGATCCCAGGGTCCCTTACAGGGACGGGGGCGCCTTGAAGGGTGTTCCCAGGGACGGCGGCGCCCCAAGGGGCCATAGCGCAGCGGTGGCGCATTCAGGTGCCCTTCCAGAGGCGGTGTCTCCCCCAGGATCCCTCTATGGAGCGCCTCTGCCCCCAAGGAACCTGCCAGGGGCTGTGGCGCCTCTATGGGACCTTCTAGGGACATCGGCGCTGGAATGGGCCCTCCTAGTGGCAGGGGAGGCCTTTCCAGGGGTGGCAGAGACTCTGCCAGGGGCGACGGAGCCCCCAGGGACCCTTCCACATGCAGCATCGCCCCAAGAACTTCATATTTTTGTCGTATATTTTGCATTCGTCCAGTAATCCCTTACTTAACTGTGATTGGTGGTGCAAGATGTGACGTCATCAAATTACAGCCAATAGGAGAACAGAGGAAACAGTCAGCACAACACCCCATCTTATGCTTTGCTGTTGGATATTTATTCTCGTTTCACTATTTAAACTCTGGGAGATATAAATAACGTTAAGTAAATACACCGCCCATCGCATTTTCAGTATTATCGCAACCTGAATTATGAAAAGGAAAATAAATATCCAACAGCAAAACATAAGTTGAGGTGTTGTACTGACTGATTGTTCAATAGGAAAAGAGAGCAGTCAGTCAGCACAACACCCCAACTTATGTTTTCCTGTTGGATATTATTCTCCATTCCGTTGTTAAGGATGCTATAATTCTGGAAATGTGAAAATGGCGATGTAGTTGCATCTCCCAGCATTATAAATAACACAAAAACAACTGCTCCCAGAGACCATACAGGGCTGGCGCTCTCAGGGAACCTCCAAGGTGCGGAAGGGAACATCCTAGGAGTGGCTGGGGCCCTTGGGACTCACCCAGGGGTAGCAGAGGTCCCAGGGACCCATCCCAGAGGCAGCTGGTGACCTGGTTCTCACCCAGGTAAGGTGGTGCCCCCCTGCGACCCTCCCAGGTGCGTCGGCGACCCTTCCAAAGGCGGTTGGGACTCATTGGACCCTCCCAGGGACGGCAGCGCCCCCTGAAATCATCACATGGATTGCGGGGACGCCAGGAACCCTCATAGGGGCGGCAGGGCCCCTGCTACCCTCCCAGAAGCGGCAAGGGTACTAAGGATCCTCCCAGTGGCGGTGGAGTCCCGCAGTTCCTTTCCAGGTGTGACAGCGCCCCTAGGGACCCTCCCAGGGTCGGCGGGACCCGCTAAGACACGCCTAGGGACGGGAGGGGGCCCTGGGACCACCTAGGGGTGATGAGGGCCCTTGGGACATTCCAGGGGCCGCACTTCAAGGGGCCCTATAGCATACCTGGTCGTGCCTTTATACATATTTTATATGTCCATCAGTTCCTTAAATGTGATTGGTGGACTAAAATATCTACCCACCAAATTACAGCCAATAGGAGAAGAGAGCAGTCAGTCAGCACAACACCCCAACTTATGTTTTCCTGTTGGATATTATTCTCCATTCCGTTTGAAGTATGCGATAATACTGGAAATGTGATGATGGGCGATGTAGTTGCATCTCCCAACGCTCTAAATAACAGAAAAACAACTGCCCCCAGAGACCATACAGGGCTGACGCTCTTACGGAACCACCCACGTGCGACAGGGAACCTCCTAGGAGTGGCCGGAGCCACTTGGGACCCGCCTAGGGGCAGCAGAGGCCCGAGGGACCCACCCAGAGGCAGCCAGGGACCTTGGTCTTATCCAGATAAGGTGGTGCCCCCTGGGACCCTCCAGGTGCGTCGGTGACCCTTCCAAAGGTGACTGGGACTCATTGGACCCTCCTATGGACGGCGGCCCCCACTGGAATCATTGCATGGATTGCGGGGGCCCCAGGAAACCTCATAGGGGCGGCAGGGCCCCTGCAACACCTCCGAGGAGCGACGATTGTACTAAGGACCCTCCCAGGGGCGGTGGAGGCCCGCAGTACCTTTCCAGGTGTGACAGCGCCCCTAGGGACCCTCCTAGGGTAGGCGGGACCCACTGAGACACTCCCAGGGACGAGAGGGGGCCCTGGGACCCTCCAGGAGCAGTGGGGCCCCTTGGGACACTACAGGGGCTGCACGTCCAGGGGCCCTATAGCATACCTGGTTGTGCCTAGGTATATATTTTATACGTCCATCAGTTCCTTAAATGTGATTGGTGGACTAAAATATCTACCCACCAAATTACAGCCAATAGGAGAAGAGAGCAGTCAGTCAGCACAACACCCCAACTTATGTTTTCCTGTTGGATATTATTCTCCATTCCGTTTTTAAGTATGCGATAATACTGGAAATGTGATGATGGCCATGTATTTGCATCTCCCAGCATTATAAATAACACAAAAACAAGTTCCCCCAGAGACCATACAGGGCTGGCGCTCTCAGGGAACCTCCAAGGTGCGGCAGGGAACATCCAAGTAGTGGCTGGGGCCATTGGGACCCACCCAGGGGCAGCAGAGGCCCCATGGACCCAATCCCAGAGGCAGCTGGTGACCTGGTTCTCACCCAGGTAAGGTGGTGCCCCCTGCGACCCTCCCAGGTGCATCGGGGACCCTTCCAAGGGCGGCTTGGACTCATTGGACCCTCCCAGGGACGGCAGCGCCCCCTGAAATCATCACATGGATTGCGGGGGCCCCAGGAACCCTCATAGGGGCGGCAGAGCCCCTGCAACCCTCCCAGAAGCGGCGAGGGTACTAAGGATACTCCCAGGGGCGGTGGAGGCCCACAGTACCTTTCCAGGTGTGACCGCGCCCCTAGGGACCCGCCCAGGGTAGGCGGGACCCGCTAAGACACTCCCAGGGACGGGAGGGGGCCATGGGACAACCTAGGGGTGGTGGGGGCCCTTGGGACATTCCAGGGGCCCTATAGCATACCTGGTTGTGCCTTGGTACATATTTTATACGTCCATCAGTTCCTTAAATGTGATTGGTGGACTAAAATATCTACCCACCAAATTACAGCCAATAGGAGAAGAGAGCAGTCAGTCAGCACAACACCCCAACTTATGTTTTCCTGTTGGATATTATTCTCCATTCCGTTTTTAAGTATGCAATAATACGGGAAATGTGATGATGGGCGATGTAGTTGCATCTCCCAGCGCTCTAAATAACAGAAAAACAACTGCCCCCAGAGACCATATAGGGCTGACGCTCTTAGGGAACCACCCACGTGCGACAGGGAACCTCTTAGGAGTGGCCAGGGCCACTTGGGACCCACCCAGGGGCAGCAGAGGCCCCATGGACCCACCCAGAGGCAGCCAGGGACGTTGGTCCTATCCAGATAAGGTGATGCCCCCTGGGACCCTCCAGGTGCGTCGGTGACCCTTCCAAAGGCGGCTGGGACTCATTGGACCCTCCCACGGACGGCGGCCTCCCCTGGAATCATCGCATGGATTGCGGGGGCCCCAGGAAACCTCATAGGGGCGGCAGGGCCCTTGCAACACCTCCGAGAAGCGACGATTGTACTAAGGACCCTCCCAGGGGCGGTGGAGGCCCGCAATACCTTTCCAGGTGTGACAGCGCCCCTAGGGACCCTCCTAGGGTAGGCGGGACCCACTGAGACACTCCCAGGGACGAGAGGGGGCCCTGGGACCCTCCAGGAGCAGTGGGGCCCCTTGGGACACTACAGGGGCTGCACGTCCAAGGGCCCTATAGCATACCTGGTTGTGCCTAGGTATATATTTTATACGTCCATCAGTTCCTTAAATGTGATTGGTGGACTAAAATATCTACCCACCAAATTACAGCCAATAGGAGAAGAGAGCAGTCAGTCAGCACAACACCCCAACTTATGTTTTCCTGTTGGATATTATTCTCCATTCCGTTTTTAAGTATGCGATAATACTGGAAATATGATGATGGGCGATGTAGTTGCATCTCCCAACGCTCTAAATAACAGAAAAACAACTGCCCCCAGAGACCATACAGGGCTGGCGCTCTCAGGGAACCTCCAAGGTGCGGCAGGGAACATCCAAGTAGTGGCTGGGGCCATTGGGACCCACCGAGGGGCAGCAGAGGCCCCATGGACCCATCCCAGAGGCAGCTGGTGACCTGGTTCTCACCCAGGTAAGGTGGTGCCCCCTGCGACCCTCCCAGGTGCATCGAGGACCCTTCCAAGGGCGGTTGGGACTCATTGGACCCTCCCAGGGACGGCAGCGCCCCCTGAAATCATCACATGGATTGCGGGGACCCCAGGAACCCTCATAGGGGCGGCAGGGCCCCTGCACCCCTCCCAGAAGCGGCGAGGGTACTAAGGATACTCCCAGGGGCGGTGGAGGCCCACAGTACCTTTCCAGGTGTGACCGCGCCCCTAGGGACCCTCCCAGGGTAGGCGGGACCCGCTAAGACACTCCCAGGGACGGGAGGGGGCCCTGGGTCCACCTAGGGGTGGTGGGGGCCCTTGGGACATTCCAGGGGCCCTATAGCATACCTGGTTGTGCCTTGGTACATATTTTATACGTCCATCAGTTCCTTAAATGTGATTGGTGGACTAAAATATCTACCCACTAAATTACAGCCAATAGGAGAAGAGAGCAGTCAGTCAGCACAACACCCCAACTTATGTTTTCCTGTTGGATATTATTCTCCATTCCGTTTTTAAGTATGCGATAATACTGGAAATGTGATGATGGGCGATGTAGTTGCATCTCCCAACGCTCTAAATAACAGAAAAACAACTGCCCCCAGAGACCATACAGGGCTGACGCTCTTAGGGAACCACCCACGTGCGACAGGGAACCTCCTAGGAGTGGCCGGAGCCACTTGGGACCCGCCTAGGGGCAGCAGAGGCCCGAGGGACCCACCCAGAGGCAGCCAGGGACCTTGGTCTTATCCAGATAAGGTGGTGCCCCCTGGGACCCTCCAGGTGCGTCGGTGACCCTTCCAAAGGTGGCTGGGACTCATTGGACCCTCCCATGGACGGCGGCCCCCACTGGAATCATCGCATGGATTGCGGGGGCCCCAGGAAACCTCTTAGGGGCGGCAGGGCCCCTGCAACAACTCCGAGAAGCGACGATTGTACTAAAGACCCTCCCAGGGGCGGTGGAGGCCCGCAGTACCTTTCCAGGTGTGACAGCGCCACTAGGGACCCTCCTAGGGTAGGCGGGACCCACTGAGACACTCCCAGGGAGGGGAGGGGGCCCTGGGACCCTCCAGGAGCAGTGGGGCCCCTTGGGACACTAGAGGGACTGCATGTCCAGGGGCCCTATAGCATACCTGGTTGTGCCTAGGTATATATTTTATATGTCCATCAGTTCCTTAAATGTGATTGGTGGACTAAAATATCTACCCACCAAATTACAGCCAATACCATAGCGGTGGCCCCTTCAGGGGCCCTTCAGAGGTGGTGTCTCCCCCAGGGTACCTCTTTGGGGCGACACTGCCCACATGGACCCTGCCAGGAGTTGGAGCGCCCCTATGGGCCCTCCTAGGGCCCGCGGCGCTGCTGTGCGCCCTGCTAGTGGCAGTGGGTTCCTTTCCAGGGGCAGCAGGGTCTCTGCCAGGGGCGACGGCTACCCCAGGGGCTCTTCCACATGCGGCATCGCCCCAAAAACTTAATAGTTTTGTCGTACATTTTGCATTCGTCCAGTAATCCCTTACTTAACTGTGATTGGTGGAGCAAGATGTAACGTCATCAACATACAGCCAATAGGAGAATAGAGCAATCAGTCAGCACAACACCCCAACTTATGCTTTGCTGTTGGATATTTATTCTCGTTTCACTATTTAAATTCTGGGAGATATGACGTAAAATAAATACACCGCCCATCGCATTTTCAGTATTATCGCAACCTGAACAATGAAAAGGAGAAAAAATATCCAACAGCAAAACATAAGTTGGGGTGTTGTGCTAATTGATTGCTTTGTTTTCCTTTTGGCTGTAATTTGATGACGTTTCCTCTTATTCCACCAATCACAGTTAAGTAAGAGATTACTGGAAGAATGCATTATGTACGACACCACTATCCATTGTTTTGGGGCGCCGCCTCCCCTAGGAGGATCTATTATAATCCACAGGCCTTGGCAGGGTCCCTGGAAGCAGTGGCCCCCATAAAGAGGCCTGGGGAGAGCCACCGCCTCTGGAAGGGCCCCCGAAGGCGCCACACCGCTGGCAGGGCCTCTGGGAGCACCACGGTCCCTAGGAACGTATCTGGAGGCGCCCCGGTCCCTGGAAAACCCCTGGGGTCAGCGCTGTCCCTGTGAGGGCCCCTCGGATCGCCAGCGCCCCTAGCAGGGCCCATGGGGGCGCCCCCGTGTCTGTGAGGGTCCCTAGGAGCGTTGCCGTCCCTGAGAGGCCCATGGAAACTCGGCTGTTTCTGGAGGAGCCCCTGAGAACGCCGCTTTCCCTGAGAAAGCCTCTAGGATTGCCGTTGTCCCTAAGAGCACCCGTGTTGGATCCAGCGCCCCTGGTGGATCTAGCGCCCCTGACAGGTCCCATGGGGGCACCGCCGACCGATGAGAGGGCCCTGGGGGTGCCTCCGTGCCTGGCCTGGCTAAGTTACCCTCAGAGTGATAACGTCGATCCCAGGGTCCCTTACAGGGATGGAAGCGCCTTCAGGGGTGTTCCTAGGGACGGCGACGTACCCAGGGGCTCTACCATAGCGGTGGCCCCTTCAGGGGCCCTTCAGAGGTGGTGTCTCCCCCAGGGTACCTCTTTGGGGCGACACTGCCCACATGGACCCTGCCAGGAGTTGCAGCGCCCCTATGGGCCCTCCTAGGGCCCGCGGCGCTGCTGTGCGCCCTGCTAGTGGCAGTGGGTTCCTTTCCAGGGGCAGCAGGGTCTCTGCCAGGGGCGACGGCGCCCCCAGGGGCCCTTCCACATGCGGCATCGCCCCAAAAACTTCATAGTTTTGTCGTACATTTTGCATTCGTCCAGTAATCTCTTACTTAACTGTGATTGGTGGAGCAAGATGTAACGTCATCAACATACAGCCAATAGGAGAATAGAGCAATCAGTCAGCACAACACCCCAACTTATGCTTTGCTGTTGGATATTTATTCTCGTTTCACTATTTAAATTCTGGGAGATATGACGTAAAATACATACACCGCCCATCGCATTTTCAGTATTATCGCAACCTGAACAATGAAAAGGAGAATAAATATCCAACAGCAAAACATAAGTTGGGGTGTTGTGCTAATTGATTGCTTTGTTTTCCTTTTGGCTCTAATTTGATGACGTTTCCTCTTATTCCACCAATCACAGTTAAGTAAGAGATTACTGGAAGAATGCATTATGTACGACACCACTATCCATTGTTTTGGGGCGCCGCCTCCCCTAGGAGGATCTATTATAATCCACAGGCCTTGGCAGGTCCCTGGAAGGTGGCCCTTACAAGGCCTGGGAGAGCCACGCTTCTGAAGCGGGGGCCCCCTGGCGCCATCCGCTGGCAGGGCCTCTGGGCACCACGTCCCTTTGTGAACGTATCTGGAGGCGCCCTGGTCCCTGAAAACCCCTGGGGTCCCTGTGAGGGCCCTCTGAGTCGCCAGCGCGCCTCAGCAGGCCCATGGGCGCCTGCTTCTGTGAGGTCCCTAGGAGCGTTAAGCCAACCTTAAGAGGAACATGGCTTTCTGGAGGAGCCCCTGAGAAAGCCTCTAGGATTGCCGTTGTCCCTAAGAGCGCCCGTGTTGGATCCAGCGCCCCTGGTGGATCTAGCGCCCCTGACAGGTCCCCTGGGGGCACCGCCGACCGATGAGAGGGCCCTGGGGGTGCCTCCGTGCCTGGCCTGGCTAAGTTACCCTCAGAGTGATAACGTCGATCCCAGGGTCCCTTACAGGGATGGAAGCGCCT